ATAGGTTTATTTGAACATTATTTCTTAAAATCAACTAAGGATTCACACCCTTAAGGTTCAGCATCTTATTCTGAAACACCCTGTATATATGAATTAACTTTTATATGTTAGGGATACAAATTGCTATTGTCCAGGGTAATGCTTTAAAATCTTAGCGATGACAAAGTTTAACAAATTTAATCATTGTCCTATTTAAATAAATTTTACATTAAATTACATATTACATATAATTAACACAAAAAACATTGTTGGTCCATAAACATACCGGCAAATTATGATTAGTCTATTAGAATTGAAAAAAAAAAACAAATTAAATACTACTTTTACTTTAAATGCGTAAATTATTAGAATAAAAACTGAAATGAGAATGTGGTGCTTTCTTTAACATAATAAATTATTTATTATGTATATAAAATGACATCTAACTCTTTTAGAAAGTATCCTTTACCGAAAAAATGTTCGTATATGTTTATACAGGGTGATTCACCATTCAAATTGCATAAGAAAAATGTCCCCTTCACCGAATTTTTTGTATTATTTTTAATTAAAACTTTACGTGAAAGCATACTAAATCTTGTTGTAACAGTGTAATTAAATAATCCGTTTTTATTATTAAAATTAATTTATCTTCTAAATAAAGCTAAAATAAAAAACATTGGTAAACCAATTTTGCTGAAACTTTATGGTTTTAACATACAAAAAGCAAAAGTAAAGGGAACAGTGGTGTGCAGTATACAGTCAGGAAATAACACCTATTTTTATTGCATTATGTTTGTAAAAATACTATAGTATATGTATACCGATATATTAAAATTGTTGATTATAATTTAAATAAAAATATATTTAAATTTAAAACAAATTAATACAAATTTAAACAAAATATATTTTAGCATAAATTACTTATGTAGGTATATGAAATTTCAAATCCATGAATTTTAAGCGTATTTATTCACTACATAATTTATTTATTATAATTGTAATTTGTGTAAATTATTTTGCCAAATAGTATCTACTGTAAACTGTTACTTTTGCATATCAATAAATAATTATTATAAAAATAGAAATTTTAATCGTTTATATAGTTTTTTAAATAATTATTATGGCCGGTTTACATTTGTAAATAAATGAGCAATACTTATACGAACAACAATACAAACAAATAATTTCATTTTTAATTAATATTAATCATGAAAGTAATATTAATTTTAATTGGCGAATTAGTAGTCCATAATAGAAAAGATTTATTGAATATTTAATGAAAATATTTGTTAGAATTTTTAGTTAAAATTTGCGGATATGACGAACTGTTGGAATCTTAAAACATTGTTTAAAAGATTCCATGTCAATTCTTTAATATTTTTTAAAAAATAATCTGCAAAAAACCCTGGGCAAATTAGGCTAACTTAAAAATCTTTGGAGTGATATTTCCCTAAAGGGAGTTATTGGACACTTTATAGTTATTGGAAAATTAACATTAATATTGTAAAAACAAGAGTTCTATAAATAGTTACCTTAAAGTCAAATCATTAGATGACGCTGTATACAATTATAACTATTTCAATAATAATATAGAACTACTTTATTTTGGGTCCAATATAGGACAAAAAAGTGCGCACGTTACTTTGGTGATACGATTTTTTGTTTTTTGTTAAGAGCAGGGCTGTGTTTAAATTACAATAAAAAAAAATTATGGTTTAAACATTGTTACTTTAATGTGTTTTAATTTTAATTCTGAAAACAAACAGTAAAATGGCCAGTGTCCAATTACTGCTTGGTAAAAATGTAAATTTCTATTATTGGACATATGTCCAATATCATACTCTATTTATATCCCAATTTTTATGTAAAATTGTCCTCAGAATCTGAAAAGATCGTCAAAAACTATAAAAGTTAAGCAGTATTTGAGATATAGTCAATTCCATATTATATGTAAAATTGATTATATTTCAAAAACTGTTTTACTTTTATAACTTTTGACGACATTTTCGGATTAAGCGTATAATATTTCATAGGAATTAACTGTTAAATGTCCTGGATACAAATTGTTCTTGACGAGAATTATTAGTGGCTCCTTTTTCGCTATGACATTTTTGAATAATTCATTTTTAGAGAGTAATAATATAGTGATTTCTTCGTCACTGGACATCTTGCAGAATAACAGTGATTTAAATACAGTGCATGATAGAGAACATAAAAAAACTAATGGCAACAAAATTAATAAATTCGAAAAATACTTTTAACATACCACCCCCAAAAATATTAGATATATATATAAATAATCCTGTTCCGGCCTAAACATTATAAATGCTTCACAAACTAGAGATACCACATATTTGCAACAAACTATTTCAGAAGTCAGACCTTCAGAATCCAGAAAAGGGATGAGGAATCCGAGAAAGAAATAGGTATATGAATTATATGATATTTACAAAAACGAAATAAAAAAATTACGTAAAACAGCATTTGATGTAAATGTATGTATGTATGTCCAATAACTATGATCCATATGTGTCCAATTACTATATAATTATAAAATGTCCAATTACTATATAATTATAAAATGTCCAATTACTATACTTTTTTGCATGTTTTTATAAAAGTATACTTTTATAAAAACTTTATTTACGTTTACTTAAAAATAAGAATATTTGAATTTTTAATATTATAATATTAAAAATTCAAATATTCTTATTTTTAAGTAAACGTAAATAAAGTTTAAACAAACAAACTATCCTTTTTATATATTTATAAGAAAAAACTAAAATCTTTAAAACAACGGCATATATAAATTTTAAATAAATAATATTCCTTAATTGTCCAATAACTATGTGGTTTACCCTACTTAAAGTTAATAATTTCAGTATTATTTAACAATTTTTATAATTTTAAATACTATTTTTTTATCAAGAAACCTGTCACGGGTGAGTTAATGGTATCTGGTTACCACGTAATCCATCATTGTTAAAAATTTAATCGCGTCAATATTTCAGCTTAATTGTTATGTTAACAATTTTTTGACTCATTAAGTGTTTTGTAAACAATATATATTACTAATAAAAAATAGCAGTCAGGGACTTATAAAAAACATTGACAATATATACTTGTTTATACATTATTTACATTATACATTATTTACAAAAAAGTATATACAAAAGTGCTCTTTTAGTTCCACCCTTACTTCCTAAGAAGTCCCAGAAGCCAACTGAATGGCTTGTGCGGGTTAGGGGTAGGAACGGACCGCGGGCTTAAAGTCCCCTCCCAAGGACTATTACACAATAGGACAAACACAAATAAACAGTCATACCCCTGGTGGGATTCGAACCCACGACCTTTGGCTTGTAGTCAGCAGCACTAACCACTAGTCCACCCTCGGATGATTTAAGTCTCTCGTCTCGCGACTCGAGACGCAAATCTCATCCTCGTGAATAAAAGCCTGCATTATCTCTCGAATTCAATATACCTATCATTTTCCGTAACTTATAATATAACAATTAATATAAATTATTATATAGTTACCATATGTTACAAAATATAACTGAAAGTTTAATTAAAGCAATTCATATAAATATATATTTAAAATACCGGTAAAGCAACGTTTTAATTTTTATAATGTAGTATGGAGATAGATACATATGTATGTAGGTATGTAAATAAATGTATTCCCATTGTATTAAAAATTTATTAAATTGTATACAAAATTATATATACGAAAAAATTATTATTATAATAATAATTTTTTCGTTGACCCTAGGGGTTTGTAATATGGCAGTGCCGTATTAGGGACTATATGCCATATTGGTATACCTTTTTATTTTTTTAACAATATTTTTAGAATATTTTTCAAAATTAAGGCACTTTCGCCTAAAACTAAAAACCTTATAAAATAATCTAAACTTTCCAAAACAAACTAATGCTACCACTCACATGCAATCTAGAAAAAGGGTTTCACTTCTTCGGCTAAAAACACGCATTTGCGTGTACAATTTTGAATAACTTAACTTAAATTCACTTTCTAAATGCATTTTATTTGTTCACTTAATGCTACACGATTATTTCAGTTTTGATTATAATGCACTTGCATATCAAACTGGATTATATAAATTTCGTTTTTGCATGCTATTCCCCAGGTATGTAAAAGTGTATCGAATCATGATTTTTTTTTTAGAAATTATGTATACCAATTAGTGTGATTAAAAGTAACTAAGTGTTCTTTAAAAAAACGAAAAATACTGCTACTAAAAAACTTTATTATTGTCAACACTCACTTACAAATTATCGACTATAATTACACATTAACTATCTTATTTTCTTCTAATGGATTCACACAATGCCTGAAAAATGAAAATTGCCTTAGATAGTTGTTATTCAGCTATTTCCAGCAGTCTAAACTTGTCAAAATTCGTTTTTCTCAAATAGTTCAAAGCACTCTAGATTGATTTTTATGATGATGCATTTTCTGATGATAAAACATCGAAAGGTCAATTTGAGGATGCTGTCTGACTCAGAATTTCCTCAGGATTCCAAATATGTAAAAATATATAGGGCATTTCATTTAAAAATCGAAAGTTGGTCTCATTTTCGGCGAAACCGGAAGTTCAAAAAAATCATTTTGTACTCTTGTTAGTGGCATTTTATATCCTAATTAACCATGCTAAATTTCATGTGTGATTTAATTAAATTTTTAATTTTATCAAAACCCCTTTTAAAAAGTCTTTCAATAAAAACTGTAAAACATTATTAACAACTATAAATTTTCCACTTTTAATAATATTATTAATATCTCCTAAACTATCAGCCCAAAAAGTATAAATGTGCATATTGCTGAAATCACAATTTTATATATATTTTATAATCCAGTCGAATCGCCAAAAAAAACGATATTTCGAAGTACAAGTACAAAAGTCTTAATACTACTACAACAGACATATCTTGACAGTATTGTCACCACGTACCGTTGTGTGATTGTCACTTACAAATTTAAAATGATAGAAGAACATAACTGCCAGTTGCGTGCAGAAGATGAAGATATAGTTAACCGATACATTATATCGGGGATATTTATTAACCTAAGAAGAAAGTTGAAGAAGTTTTGTATGTGCGATGTCCGCCATCCGGGGGCCAAGATGATGTTTAAATCAAAATTATCGATGGAAAGAGAACAAAATCGGCATCTTTTTTACTTTTATGGCACAGTGCATCCCTACAGTTTGGTTAGTTTCTGGATGGAGACTTATCTTGTCATTGCTTACGGAATTATGTTTTTTTCTATGCCGATTTTTAGAATGTTTGATGAACAAATTAAAACAAGAACCTTTGAAATTTCATATTTCTTAACTTTTGCACTTGTAGTTTTATCGATGATGATTTGGAAATTTAAAGTGGGTTGCATAAAAGAAAATCAAATTGAACTAGATACAAAGAAAATAGCAGTGCATTATATAAAAACAACTTTAATTCTAGAAATGTCGGCTTTGTGTATACTGCTCATTTTTGTTTTACAATATTTTCATTACCTATATATTCCAAATCTAGAAGATTGGGAAACAATACCACTTATCCTAATTTATTCGCGGGTGTTTACAATAAACACCTACATGAACAGATTCCAGAGATACTCAAACATCTCGTCGAGATTAATAGATCTATGGAAGTTAATATTTGTAATGATAGTCATTGGGAACAATTTGACCTACGCTTACGACAGATACTTCAACAAAACCATTTGGAAAACAAAAAAAGGAGTTAAACGCGACGAACCCCTCCATAGACTTGTAGACTCTTTCTACACAACTTACGTGATTATTATGGGAGCAAACTCCCACCCCATGGGCCCGGACACCACCCCCTTCAAACTATTCGGCATGCTACTTCTTCTAGTCGGTGTCGTGATGAACTTTTTATTCTTCCTGTTTTTCTTTCGCCTGATTAAATCTTTCATGGAAGTCAATAGTCAGAAGCTGACCTTCATAAGAGTTCTGATGGAGTACATGCAGTACAATGAGTTCACGCCAGCGTTGAAAAAAAAGATTTTGGCTTACTACGATTTCACCTTCGGAAGAAATTTTTATATTGTAGCCGATATACACAGCGCCTTGCCGGAAAATATAATCCGCAACATCAATGTTCTAGCCTTCAGCAACTTTTTGAAGATGATAAGTTTCTATGACGCCCTTGCGCCGAGTTTAGTTTACCAGCTATCAAACTCTCTGGTGGTTAGTATTTTTTTGGCAGGAGAGACCATAGTTCATCAAGGTGTTATCGAAAAAGCCATGTATTTTATCCACGTGGGTTCAGTAGCCATATATACCAAGGATGGCGTGGAAGTGTGCCATTTAACTGAAGGCGATTATTTCGGTGAATTTTCTCTACTATTGGACATTCCCAAAACCGCCAGTGTTGTTGCTATAGAAAATTGTAAGGTTTTTAAGTTATCGCGCGACGTTTTGTATGATAATTTCAGGAACGATCCTGCAGCATTAAGGCAAATAAAGAAGATGTGCTTAGCAAGAGCCGGTGGACATGACCCATATAGAAAATAATGTTATGTATATATTATATATAAATAAAAATGTTTCTTTAAGTACATTCATTTATAAATGCACTCATTTGCGAAAATATTCAAGGTGCGTTCCAAATAGCACATCTAGTGTTGAAAGTTGAAGAAGTATTGTAAGTGCGATGTTCGCCATCCGGGGGCCAAGATTATGTTTAAATCAAAATTATCGATGGAAAGAGAACAAAATCGGCATCTTTTTTACTTTTATAACACAATGCATCCCTACAGTTTGGTTAGTTTCTGGATGGAGACTTATCTTGTCATTGCTTACGGAATTATGTTTTTTTCCATGCCGATTTTTAGAATGTTTGATGAACAAATTAAAACAAAAACTGTTGAAATTTCTTATTTATAACTTTTGCGATTGTAGTTTTATCGATGATGATATAGAAATTTAAAGTGGGTTGCTTAAAAGAAAATCAAATTGAACTCGATACAAAGAAAATAGCAGTGCATTATATAAAAACAACTTTAATTCTAGAAATATCGGTTTTGTGTATACTGCTCATTTTTGTTTTACAATATTTTCATTACCTATATATTCCACATCTAGAAGATTGGGAAACAATACTTCTTATCCTAATTTACTCGCGGGTGTTTACAATAAACACCTACATGAACAGATTCCAGAGATACTCAAACATCTCGTCGAGATTAATAGATCTATGGAAGTTGATATTTGTAATGATAGTCATTGGGAACAACTTGACCTACGCTTACGACAGATACTTCAACAAAACCATTTGGAAAACAAAAAAAGGAGTTAATCGCAACGAACCCCTCCATAGACTTGTAGAGTCTTTCTACACAACATACGTGATTATTATGGGAGCAAACTCCCACCCCATGGGCCCGGACACCACTCCCTTTAAACTTTCGGCATGCTACTTCTCCTAGTCGGTGTCGTGATGAACTTTTTGTTCTTCCTGTTTTTCTTTCGCCTTATTAAATCCTTTATGGAAGTCAATAGTCAGAAGCTGGCCTTCATAAGAGTTCTGATGGAGTACATGCAGTACAATGAGTTCACGCCAGCGTTGAAAAAAAAGATTTTGGCTTACTACGACTTCACCTTCGGAAGAAATTTTTATATTGTGGCCGATATACACAGCGCCTTGCCGGAAAATATAATCCGCAATATCAATGTTCTAGCCTTCAGCAACTTTTTGAAGATGATAAGTTTCTATGACGCTCTAGCGCCGAGTTTAGTTTACCAGCTATCAAACTCTCTGGTGGTTAATATTTTTTTGGCAGGAGAGACCATAGTTCATCAAGGTGTTATCGAAAAAGCCATGTATTTCATCCACGTGGGTTCAGTAGCGATATATACCAAGGATGGCGTGGAAGTGTGCCATTTAACTGAAGGCGATTATTTCGGTGAATTTTCCCTACTATTGGACATTCCCAAAACCGCCAGTGTTGTTGCTATAGAAAATTGTAAGGTTTTTAAGTTATCGCGCGACGTTTTGTATGATAATTTCAAGAACGATCCCGCAGCATTAAGGCAAATAAAGAAGATGTGCTTAGCAAGAGCCGGTGGACATGACCCATATAGAAAATAATTTTATGTATATATTATATTTAAATAAAAAAGTTTCTTTAAGTACATTCATTTATAATTGCACTCATTTGCGAAAATATTCAAGGTGCGTTCCAAATAGCACATCTAGTGGCCCAAGTAACACATTAGGGGCCGTCCATAAATGATGTCACACGTTTTTTTAATATTTTTGTTATAATATTTTTCTAGTACTTACGAGACTTTTCTGGCAATAAATTTTGTTTAACACCAAAGAAAATCCTTTTTTTCTTCTTTAACATTAACAGCCGCTTATTGTAAATAAGTAAATTAAGAACGGCATGGCGACTCGATTTTGACATTAACTGTCAAACCAATTACTGTGATACCAACTATCTAAAGTAAAATTCGACCAAATTAAATTTAAGGTATAAAATTATTTTTTTTTAGAATTTTTCAAATAGATAAAATAGAATAAAGAACTCATGTCATAAGACTAATTGTCCGCGTGAGTCAAAATGACGTCTTATGACATTAGTTCTTTAATATACTATTAAATGCTAATAAGTTTTAATACATACATTAAAAGTTTCCTTAAAGAACTAAGAATATAAAATTAAAACTAAATGGTTTTAATATAGTTTTAAAATTTGAAGACCCTTTTGGATGGAAGCTGCTTTATGATGGTCCTAATGCTGTCTTGAAGATCATTTGGTTTTATTCAAAGTTTTATTGTATAGTTTTAAAACGACCTTGGAGATCGCAATGAGAGCATTAGTGTTGCTTGGGTAAGGAATGCAGTAAAATAATTAGGTTAGGTTATCTATCTGTCAATTTCGCCTTATTTCCTAAAAATATTACAACATAACGAAACTTTTAGGGGTGCTAAAGCACAACAAAACAAACATTTATTAATTTACACCCACTGTGTTATCTGACTACAAAAAAAAGAAAACAGTATTACCAAGCGAAGAAAATAAAATAAAGCCTTTTTTGGAGCGGTAAGTCTTTTCAAAAGAATTAATTTTTTTTTAAATAAAAGTATAGGCAACCGGCTTCAATTAAAGTTTCCAAAATCATCTTTTTCTTATTAATGTCCCCGAGGAAAAAAACATCATTAAAGAAAAAGTGACTCAAACTGTACAATGTACAGTGTACATCCAAACTTGGCAAACGGCGCGTCGATAAAAATAAACAAACAAGCAAGCGGCTCGTTTAATTCATCCACTTTTTCATCCAGTAGCGGCTCGTGGTGAGTGAAAGTAAGGAGGAGGCTAATAAAGTACAAGTGATGATAACATTTTTAGACGCCCTTGTCATATTTATAAAAAACTATCCTAAAATATTTTTCAAACGATCCACTGATAATTTTGAATTTAATTAAAGTACCATAGGTGGCATGACAGAATAACGAAATCAAAACTCCTCACCCTCAAAAGACCTTTGTATTTAGCTTTTTACCTAGTGTGCTTATTTTTACCACAGTTCCACTTAATAAGAAGTAAAAAATCCATCAATTATAATAAGCTTGAATGGTAAATTAAAATCCACGCTCAAACCTCGTCAACCCACTATGGTAAATTTAAAAGGAAACAATCAGCTGATCGGGCACGGTTGTCAATGTGATGCTAAAATCATTGCATCAAGTGACATTGGTAGTGCATAAAGGGCGATAGATGGCGTTTACATGAATAATAACATAGGGTCCCTAGATTTGGGACCTTAGAATACCAAAATGTTAAAAGTCAGAGTTTTAAGACATTTTTAAAGACATTTTCAGCTATAAAACCCAGAAATTTTGCCATCTAAAGTCAGTCTCTGGTATATATATAATTAGAGTTGGGGATGGTCAATTGACCGCGGTCAATTGAACAGTCAATTGACTGTCAATTGACCGCTACCTATTTGACCGGTCAATTGACCGGTCAAAATAATTTTTGCAGCATTTTATTTAGGTATCAACAATTACCCGTGAATCTCAAAATTTTTGCGATCGTGCAATATCGACATCATTTACAATTTGGTGGTTCCCCGAGTCGAGGGCTTGCTAGGCCGGACTCGGCACTTTGCCCTTAAAGCGGGACATATCTTTTTCAATAGCGAAACATAACTTTTTAAAGCCGCACAAACGTTTCTAAAGATGGACATAACTTTTGTAATAAAAAAAAATTGGTAACGTATTTTAATTACCTATTTATTAAGTACAAATAAATCACAGTAATATTTATTTTGACATTTTATTTTATTTTATTTTGGTCAATTGACTGGTCAATTGACCGGTCAATTGACCATAAACAATTTGACCGGTCAATTCCACAACCCTATATATAATATACGAGTATATTATTATTTTATGTATCTAACATATATTTTGTTAAATATTCTAATATATAATTAATAATAATCCTATTTACCTCTCTAAAAACCGTGGATCGATTTGTTGTGTTGTTGGGTGTATTTTGAGAGGAAATCCTGGGTTTAGTTTTTACCGGTTTTCCAATAAACAGTGTTAATCTGAATGAAGAAATAAATTGCATACAGTCTCTGTAAATATAAATTAGATACAATAAATACACATTTTAGTAGTGATTAACGTGAAAAGTGTTAACATTTCAATTCAGTAAAAATCGTCAAACAAATAAGTCGTCTAAATTTAAACAACATTTAGCATTATTAAAAGCGTTGATTATGTTAATAAAACTTTTCCGAGGTCGTACCTGTACTTGTCAAATGTATGTAAATGCTCAGATCCGACCCCTGAGCGAGAAGCGAGTAACCCTGTCTATATCCCTTTGAATGTCTGTAAATTTTCCAAAGCTTTTGTTGTGCATTAGGTTCATTGATAAAGTCAAATTAAGGAAATTGTAAAAGTTAATATTAAACAAGTCGTGGCTGTGAATTCTCCACTCAACGGTAAAATACCATTATGTTATGTATTATATATAATATTATGTTGCCATGAATTCGTAGGTATATTTTGTTGTTTAAAATGCAGCAGTCGGCGTTTTTTAGAGAACTCAAATATAAAAATGATTGATTTTAAGGTTATGTTTGTGCAAAAATTACCATTAAAAATGTCCAAACTTAAATATAAATTATATTAGGTAAAGTTATCATTAATTTTGCACCAACAAATGTACTTACCGAATTGGATCCTTTGGCAAAACATGAAAATGCAACGATTTAGTTCTTGAATTTTATTTACAATTAAAAACACAATAATTCACCATGATCCCTTAGATAAAATGCACACACTAACGTAACTATATTCTTAAGCATATAAGCGTTGAGTTTCTTAATCAATGATATAAGAAATAATCAATCGAAATCGAGTACTAATTTTAATTTTTTCCTTGCAACGTAAAACACAAATAACGTGCGCGATTTAGCTGTGCAAATAAACTACCTATTTATTTAAAAATTATGCATACATGTATAATCGGTGCTTTAAATTTATTGTTGACGATTCTTATATTCACGCAATGCATTCGAAGTCCACCAGATGGCGCGCGCGTTGCGAAAACCCGATACTTCTTTAGCGTATTGGGCAGTCGTCCAACGCCAAAAATTTCATCAATATTTAACGAACTCTTCAAATATCTTGGTACGAAACCTATGCGGAAGTATTTATAAACAAAGCCAAAAACATTTGGAGTTCAGGGGGTGGGTATTCCGATAAATTTAAACTCAATTTAACATTTGTCAGCGGATTTAACCTCACTTTTCGCCAATTTATAATAAAGCTGACTTCAGCCCGTGACTAAAATGCCCAAAAACTACTGATGCTAAATTCAACCTTTTGACTAAAACGCCATAAAGTCACAGCTTGTCAATGAGGGAGTAGATAAAAATAATTAAACGTTTTGAGGAGGCTAAGCTTCCCTCTCCCCCCCTTTGACGATCCGCCACTGTCCATTCTTCTTACGAACTCTCACCGTTCTTGCGAATAACCAAACCAAACGGACCGATATCTTCACTTGTCTTCGGTATACCACGTGGTATGGATGTAACGCCGGCTAGTGTATAGTGCATTGAACTAGTAGTAAGACCGTATTGCACTTTTCGAACTGTTTTGTGATTTGAGGGGATTTTAGGATTTGATTTCAGTGATTTTATTGTGTTTTGATTCCGTGATTAAAATGTGGTGCTACATGTGATTTTGTTTTTTTTTCTTAAAAGGTAATATCTACGTTATTGTTGTGTTTATATATAATTTTTGTTGCGATTTTTGGTTAGTTTTTTATAAAAATAATTATATTTTGTAGTATGGTCTTCTCAAAAAAATTAATTTTTAAATAACTGATTTTATAATTATAATTATAAAAACACTTTTTAGGACGATTAAACACATTTTTTTACATTAAAATTTAAATTATGCATGCTAAAAAAATTTCGTAAAACATTATATTTGGTCATTAAATTATTATTTTTCAAAAAAACGAATTTTTTTTAATATTCAAAATAGGGCAAGAAGACGTTAGCCATTTGGATTTTCCAATAAAGTTTATTATTTTTATTATTATTATTATTCAAAATATATTTTGAATTTGAATAAAATATGGGTTCTAACAATCATCTCTCTAAAAATGAATTAGTCAAAAATGACTAATTTAATAGTTATTAGTGGCTGCTTTTTCACTTGTACCATGGTTAACCATGGTGTCCCAAAATTTAACAGCCAATTATTATGTAAAATTATCCTCTGAATCCGAAAAAAATTATGAAAGTTGAGCAGTTTTTGAGATATAGTCAATTCCATATTAAATGGAAAATTGACTATATTAGATATAAGATTCTTAAAAACTGCTCAAAACATTTTCGGATTCAGGGGACAATTTTACATAAGAATTGGAAATTTTGGGATACCCTGGTTAACCATGGTACAAGTGAAAAAGCAGCCACTAATAACTATTAAATTAGTAATTTTTGACTAATTCATTTTTAGAGAGATAATAATTATTTTCAATAGAACTGACGATTAACAAAAAAAGTATCTAAGTATTTAAACTTTTTAGATATATGTAGGTTAGGGCGTCCCTTATTTTTATTTTTTTTACGCATACCCTCTAATTATATTTATTACTTGTTTATATACTCCCAGTAAAAATTTCAGCTCATTCTATAAACGGGAACCCGTGCAGACTTGCATCTAAACCCTCCGTTAGCCAACGTTGGACGCGCGCGGTATTTTGTAACACGAAACATTTTAAAAAGAAGATATACTTTATGACTGTATTTTTCTAATGATTTTATTAAATATGATTACTAATTAATATTATTGCTTTTGTTTCTATCATTTGTGTCACTAATTTAGTTGATTTTATCCCTTAAATATATTAATATACTAATTAGTATTGCTAAAATATACTGTTATATGAAATTTCAGCTTTTTATAAGCATTTCTTTTCTTGATGTCCTCCCAAAAACATTTCAGACAGTTCAATAAGTTTTCGGTAGTCATCTCTCACAATAGACTCTTTTAGTTATTTAGAGTAAAACCCATTAAGTTTATCAATTTCAGAGTTTACGGCCTATTCACCAGACCCTTCCGGGTAACTAGCCACTCCCTGTGAAAATATACATTTTTATCAAATTATACACATAAATAAAATTAAATTTTAACATTTGTCAATAATTTATAATATAAGGGCCACATAATAACAAACACAAAATGACTATCGAAGACCTCGCGACCAACCGTGTTACAAAATACCGTGCGCCTAACGTTGGCTAACGGAGGGTTCAGATGCAAGTCAGCACGGGTTCCCGTTTATAGAATGAGCTGAAATTTTTACTGGGAGTATATAAACACGTAATAAATATAATTAGAGGTATATTTATATTTTTGCACTACAGTAATATTTTATTAATTTTCATAACAATTCATTCTATAATTAAAAAAAATTGTCAATGAAAATAATTTTCCCACCATTTACGGGAGATGACCATGTAGGTTTTAAAAATTTAATAATCTTAAATACGACGAAAAAGGTCATTCAGCACAATAGAAAAATAGTTTCTGCATGCAAGATAAAAATTTAATAAAATTTCGAAATTCGTTAATTCACGGTTGCAGGAGTCATTTAATAAGATGTTGTCAAAGATAATGTTACAAATTGTTTTGCTTGCTGACTGACTATTAAACATTCGAAGTGCTGCCACACGAACAAATTTTGTCCAATTTTAATGAAATTTACAAAATTTTATAGTGATCAATTCAAAAATTTCAAAATGAAAATTATGTAAGTCAATGTGCATAATTGAATTTATTTATTTTGTATATACATTAGCAATATAAAATAAGCGTTTTTAAAATACAGGACAACGTTAATTTTAACGAATTTTAATAATTTTATGAAAGTCTTAGCAGGAATATTATTTAAATTAATCTAATCATTTGAATATTCAAACAATAAAATGCTAAGTAGCTAAATGCTAAGAGTACTCTCACCTAGAAATATCTGGTCTTCCTACCTTGATGATACTACATTTACTCTTCAAAAATTAATAAATTAATAAATTCATAAAACACTTCGTCGTGACTATGCAATACAAACCCATCTTATTATTTACTTTTTTCTACTCCCACCTTTAAACCGCCCTTTATCGTACATGTTTTCATGACACTAAGTGACCTTTTAAATACACATTGACAAGTTGTGGCTTTATGGCGCTTTAGTCACGGGCTGAAGTTAGCAACAGGTTTTTATTCACGGGCTGAAGTTAGTTTTTTTTAAGTTAGTTGACAGTTGTCAAATGTCATACAATCGTTAAAATAAAGTGCCTTTCTTGTAAAATAATACTAAATGTGAAAATTATATATTCAAAAAGTTTATATGAACATTGTACTGACCTTTTAATTTCGCCGGCAGTAAACTATAACTTAAATTCGGGAGCGGACTCCACTGTAAAGTGCTCATTTTCTTTACTTTCTCTGTGAAAAACTGTCAATTTTCAAGAAATACAATTCGATTTATAACCTTTATAATCTGTGTTTATAAAATATAAAAATTTGACATTTGACAGTGACACACAGATTCCCCTAAAATCATTTTAAGATAATAAAGTATTTGTCGTAGAAAAAGTACCTCGTTTATAAACTTGACGTTTATCAAACTTGATACATAATATACTATTATGAGTATAAAAGTCTAATATATTCCTAAACGTGCTATAAAACATATACATAAAAAAACGAACAATGCTCTATAAGTCTGGACCTAAAAAAGATATTTATTTCTCAAAAACCGTTTCTAGGATATGTTTGATCTTTACTAAGTAACCCCTGGGGCTATAGCCACCACAAAAAATAGTTTAATTTATGAAAAATACGCAAAATAATTATTATAATTATATATTTCTATATCTCTTTATAAACCATTTTGTTGTAGTAGAAACATTAGTAAAAAAACTAGAGATCACAAAATAATCAGATTCACAAAAATTTACAATAAAGATTATAGAGCATTGCTCGTTTTTAAATAGACACCCTGTATGGTTATTAAATTGTCATTTAAAATTAAAATTTCTTTGGTTCATGTTAGACAAGAAAAATATGACGTCGTTTTTCAGAAAAAAAACAATTTGGTTTGGTCTAAGCTATGTGTTAGGTTTAATTAATGAAACAAATAAACAGTTACAAGTCTGGTTCAAGAGGTCATAGGTCTTTCGAGACTAAGTCCACTTTTTAACACGCAAATTATAGAAACAGCAATTAAAAAATGAATCCAGTTACTTTCATTTTTTTAAACATGTCGTATGGTGTAAATTGTTATATTGTAGGTAAATTTCAAAATATACTAGCGGTATATACCATTATATATTTTGTAATTTCTAAGACATAAAGTAAATTTTAGAGATATTGTCAAAATTGTGAGTTTAGAAAAAATATCATTTGAAAAATGTACAAAGGTTTATTATAAACATGCCAATGTTAAATTATAGAAAAAGTTGCTAGGGAAACATTTTTAGTTTTGCATATTACAATAATAATAATATTGCTATGTTTATAAATGCTATCCAATGAATAAAATTATGACTTTATGAATGTATTAATTGGTAACACCTGAAAAACGGTTTTTATTCCCATTAATTTAAAAATAATTATACACTATGTATATACTCAAAGTAGGTTACGATTAAATTTGATGGTGCTGTATGAAACTTAATTAAACGTTTAATTTATGACTTTCAAAACATTTGAATTTACCTTTTACAAAAAATACTTTGACGTTGTAAACCAAACTTTTTAAATAGTATTCCCAAATAAAATACAATGCTAACAGAATAAGCTTTGTTTATAATACTTCCTCATAGCCTTATAGGTTTTGTCCCAATATATTTAGAAATTTCGTGAATATTCCTCTATCACTAGTGAGTTATGGATTATGACTCACGTTCATATTTAAAGTAGTATTATATTTATTTATTACTATGACAAGCCGAATTCACATTGATATTGAAATTAAAGGAAAACGCTAACGGTTTATTCGAATTTGAAGTCATTGTAAAATTCGTTGGTTCATTGGAACCAGACGCTCCCATATCGGTACAGATGCTGATTGTGCTGGAAGACGCCGACTCATTAGAACCTTGTATTTTTTCTGCAATTTGTATTTTGTTATGCACAGATTCTTCTAGGTATCCTTCTGCTACCGTCGAGGACTTCCATCCTCCGTGACGCTTCAAAGTAGTCATGTTAACCCCTGCATTGGCCAAAAGAGTCGCCGAAGACCTTCTCGGGCAGTGACTGGTGTAGAGCACTGGTTCCTCCAATTTCAAAAACATTGCAATTCTTGAAGGTATCTTCGTCAACGTATTTATTCCTACACACTAACTGGTACACCTCCCATTTTTGTAAAAAAAAAGCGGCTAGAACTAGTATTCTTTGGTCTCAAAGACATGTATTTTTTACACAAATTGAGCGGGTTGACTGGAAATCCTTCTTCAAGTTTGATGAAACTTCTCAATTTATTGGTTTTAGTGTCTGGCAAAACCACGTGAAAATATTTCCCTTTGTCTTGAATATTTTCTATTTTCAAATTGACCAATTCATCGCATCTACAAGCACCGCTAATCCCCATTATCAAAGCCACTTTCATCAACAGGTACTCGTCGTCGGGAGCTTCGTTCAAAAAATTCTCTATTTCAGGTCGTTCTAATGTCTTGGACTTCTTTGG